GCTTAAGAAATTTGTGGGTAGGGAGATTGAATCCTGGGATAAGTATCTGCCTTTTGTATTATTTGCGTACAGGGAAGTGCCGTGCCAGTCAACAGGATATTCCCCTTTTGAATTATTATTTGGAAGAACCGTACGAGGACCTTTTACTGCTGTCAAACACGCTTGGGTTTCTTCGAAAATATCGGAAGACTACCTAGATTATGTATTAGAAACCCGTAAAAGATTAACACAAATGCATGAAATTGTTCATGAAAATTTGAAAGGAACACAGGAAAAACAAAAGAAATTATATGATCGCCAGAGTTCCCGAAGGCTTCTTGGGGTGGGAGATAAGGTGTTAGTGTTGCTCCCTACGCCCGGAAGTAAACTAGAGATGAAATGGCAAGGACCCTTTATTGTAAGTAAAGCGTTTGAGAATGGATTAAATTATGAAGTTGATAGGGGAAAGGGGGACAAACAAAAACGTGTATATCATCAAGTAAAGGATAAAAATCGTAAGTTGCTGCGGTGGAGTTTGACTCTTCAAGAGTATGAGATAGAGTATGAGCATAAGGCGGGGGAAAAGAATGTGGACGCCGATGCGTTAAGTAGAATTGAGTAAAGTCCCGTGGGAGTGTAGGAACCTTCCCTGCCGATGGGTATTTTTCGTCTGGCTGCTCCTCTCCGACCGGTTTGGGAGTTGTTGCTGGTGTATGTGTACTCGTCAGATTTTTTAACAGCATTGGATCAATTACAGTTGTAATATGATCTTTGGCGGGAAGGTGTGATAAAAGAATAGCTGTATATAACTATATATTATGAATATGTAAATTAATGGATTATATAAGGAGCCCAGAGTTTGAAGCGAGCAGAGGAAAAACAGGACAAGCAAGGAAAGAGTTCCTAAACATTCAAAAACCGACGACGACCTTCAGGAGAAGAACAACGTGGAAAGATATCTTGCTTTTGTTGGAAGTATACTAAAGTTCGCTGACTATATACGCTCAAGTTCATTTAAGATCGACAGAAAACCATCTCGAAGCGATTTAAGAATATTCAGATTGTTAGCAAGTTTCGTCACGCTTTTGTTCATAAGACATATCCGTTGAAATTCTCAACAAACAAGATACGACGCTGTTATATGTTTGATACTACGCGGAAAGTTAAGCGCTGTGGGCTAGCTGAAGAAAGAAGACGTAGCTACACTCTGTTGGACTCGGGTTTGTTAAAAAAAATACTTTAGGAAATTAGATAACTCTTAGTAATTACAGAATTAAAACCTTTATGTTAATTGTAGTACAGTGGGTTTTATTGACTTGTGTTATTGTGAACTGCAGCGCCCACGTCGATCCGTGATAGCTGTTTTTGAAAATCGACATAAAACCGTTAAAGCAGGAATGCAACACTCTCCTCCGCAGTCGCAGAGGGTTTCCAATTTGTTTTCTTTCTATACATTTTGCTTGCGGTAGCTTCGTAGTTAGATTCCCTGTTATCCCAAATGTCCACGATGGTCCCTTTTAACCCCGTGCGCTCGCTTCTAGTCTGCCGCAAGCTCCCGTTCAGAGAAAACAAACTACAAACTCTTCCAAGTTCCAACTACAAACAGTACCAAGCCTCTGCGGAGGAGACTGAGGAGTGCAACGAATTTCACTCGAATTTTGAGTTCAAGACAATTCCTGTATTCTATTTTTATATATTCTTAAACGATGTGTATTTCAGTCAAGACCACTACCTACACTGAGAACCAACAGTTTGAAGTTTAGACTAGTGAGAATCTACCACAAAGGACGTGTATTTCAAGACCACTACCTACACTGAGAACCAACAGATTGAAGTTTAGACTAGTGAGAATCTACCACAAAGGACGTGTATTTCAAGACCACTACCTACACTGAGAACCAACAGTTTGAAGTTTAGACTAGTGAGAATCTACCACAAAGGACGTGTATTTCAAGACCACTACCTACACTGAGAACCAACAGTTTGAAGTTTAGACTAGTGAGAATTTATATAACATACACTAATTTAATAAACAAATTGTACACGTAGCACAAAAATTCTCTAAATAAAATAAAAGGTATATCAACAGGTCTATTTTGAAACATGAAACTGTATTATGTTCATGATTATTCATTGAATTCCCCCAATCAGATTACAGCATTTGCATAAAAAGCACTGATCTGTAACAGATTGTCAGATTTCGCAATTGTTTTCCCAGAACAGAACAGACCGTGCTTTCGCTTACAAAAGACGAGCTATAAAATATAAAGTAAGAATAATTCCTATAGCGCAATTACAATTTTACAACATGAGCACCGACGATTTATTGACAAAATTCGATGAAATGGTGAAACGCTTTAAGCAAGAGTTCAATGAAATTATCGAAGGGGAACGTGCCAAAATGAAGGCGGAAGTAGAAGCGTATAACGCGGAGAAGCAGAAAATGAAACCGTTCGAAGTTAGCGACGATGATATAATAGATCTGAACGTCGGAGGACAGAAGTTGACCACCACCAGATCTACCCTGTGTCAGGTAGAAGGTTCGTTGCTTGCCTCCATGTTCAGTGGACGCTGGGAAGATGGTCTCAAACGTGATAAAGACGGCGCCATCTTCTTCGACTTCAACCCACAGTATTTTGTGATAATTTTGGATTATCTTCGCGCGAGGAAAATTGCGACTCCAGAGAATCGAGTACCTGTGCCGAAAGTTCCTGAAGAGCAAGCAAAACATTTCAATGATCTTGTTCAGTATCTCGGTTTGAACGAAGAGATCGTCCCCAAGGCTGAGATTTCGCCAAGCGGCGAGAAATTTAATCAGTTACACAGCGCTGGAGTCGCTCTTCAGGAAGGCGGGAAGGTTGCATGTAGTGTTTCAAAGGTAGGCTATCAATATGTTCTCGGTGAAAATTCGTACCAACATGGGATTGTGAATCTCAAATTAAAGCTGGAATCTTTGAAAGATCAGGAGCACATGTTTGTTGGTATACTGAAAGATGATGTTATTCATGCAGTAGCTCTAGAGGATAATTCTTCCTATCATTGGTCTGGTTCCTATGGATGGGTACTCGGGTTCCATGCTTGTACAGTGTGGAAAAATGGGTCACATACGACAGACAGTACTTTGAAGCAACTTTCTAAACAAGGTGATACGGTTGAGTTGGTCTTAGACTGTGATGCAGGCAAGCTGTCACTACATTTGCCCACTGGTCACCAATTTCACATCGTAATACCAAAGTTTAAAACATGGAGACTGAATATAACTTTGTGTCACGAAAATGAAAAAATCCGCATTATGGACGCTTAATTAACAGACAACGAAATTCTGATTCATTGGATCTACTATAGTGCATGTATAATAATAGTTAAAAGTAAAAAGTAACACATACATTGACAAAATACTTCATATGGATTCATACACTTTTATAAATAACATGTGTGTAATTTACCAGTCAGTTGTGTAGTGGAGTGGGGGGAGGGGGGTTGGGGCAGGAACAGATTAGTACCATCAGTGGGACCGGGCTATACCATATCCCTTGTGACGTCATTGACGTACATTTTCTGAAACGCAATTTAAAATATTGACTATGATATAAACTCGACTTTTTCCATTCATTGTTTGCATTAGCATTATTTTGTTTAGTTTGACAATTAATGCAATAAAAAATAAATAAATGAATGTGAACATACTAGTAGATTATGATATTCTATTCTGATGTTGTTACAAATCCGTGATAGCTGTTTTTGAAAATCGAAATAAAACCGTTAAAGCGGGAATGCAACGCTCTCCTCCGCAGAGACTTTGTAGTTTGTTTTCTTTCTATAAGTTCGGCTTGTGGGAGTTTCGTAGTGTGATTCCCTGTTATCCCCAAATGTCCATGATGCCCCTTTTAACCCCGTGCGCTCGCTTCTAATGCCGCAAGCTCCCGTTCAGAGAAAACAAAGTTAACAAACTACAAATTCTTCCAAGTTCCAACTTGAAACAGCAGAAAGCCTCCGCGGAGGAGAGTGAGAATGCAACGAAATTCACTCGCATTTTGAGTTCAAGACAATTTCTGTATTTTATTTTTATATATTTTTAAACGAAGTGTATTTCAAGACCACTGCCTACACTGAGAACCAACAGTTTGAAGTTTAGACTAGTGAGAATCTACCACAGAGGACGTGTATTTCAAGACCACTACCTACACTGAGAACCAATAGCTTGAAGTTTAGACTAGTGAGAATCTACCACAAAGGACGTGTATTTCAAAACCACTACCTACACTGAGAACCAACAGTTTGAAGTTTAGACTAGTGAGAATCTACCACAAAGGACGTGTATTTCAAAACCACTACCTACACTGAGAACCAACAGTTTGAAGTTTAGACTAGTGAGAATCTACCACAAAGGACGCACAAAGGACGTGTATTTCAAGACCACTACCTACACTGAGAACCAACAGTTTGAAGTTTAGACTAGTGAGAATCTACCACAAAGAACGTGTATTTCAAGACCACTACCTACACTGAGAACCAACAGTTTGAAGTTTAGACTAGTGAGAATCTATCACAAAGGACGTGTATTTCATGTATTTCAAAACCACTACCTACACTGAGAACCAACAGTTTGAAGTTTAGACTAGTGAGAATCTACCACAAAG